TACAAACTTCACAATAGACCAGGTGTCCGTATATGGTCTGCAGGGCAGAAATGTGAGAGGGAAGTGGGAGAGAAGGTGTGAAAACATGTCTGGAAACTGACTTTCAACGTCCACAACGCACGACACCTGAAGCCCAACGGACCACATAACGCACTTCACCACACTACGTGAATGGACGCACCAGAGGGTACATTTACACTTTCAAGGGAGCAGTGGGAGGCTCTGCAGCACCTGCTCAACAAGCCGCCAGTGCCACCGGCCAGACAGGAGCGTGCACGTCTTGGCGGAATCCATGTTGAGGACTTGCCCACCTACGCGGTACGGCTCCTGTACATATTTTGAAAAAGAGATAGCTTCACTCAATCACGTGCTTCACACACAAGGCAAACACTCGCACAGCGTTAGTGGCTCGCCCCGTCCCAAAGTTCAAGAGCTCAACCATCCGTCCCATTCGTCTGCAAGGATCACTACACAACATTGCCTGGGCCGACTCCATCAACCCGCAGCAGACCAACTGCACCTACGCTGACATCCTTCTCAGCATTGCTACAACACTGATGAAGGTTCAAGAGACATGAAATGTGGACTACATCAACGTCAACATGTGGGTGGAATCAAAATTGTTCTCACGTCACCTCAACTCGACTTTGTGTGTACTACATGATGGAAAGCATGTTGTTGCTGCACTGACCTACGAGTAAGCACACCACCATCTTTCTCTCACTTTTTAGTGTGCTGACATCATCCCACAGGGTTCTCCTACAGTGCTTCTGTGGGCTCAAGATCTTTGTCCTCACATCGTGGGGCAATGCTGACATGGACGTCTATGTGCCCGTGATCGAGAATCTTGAGGCCGCCATGATCACAGCACGTAATGCCATGCTTGACAAAGGCTGGTCACCTGACCCCAAGTGCTATGATGAGCGCCGCTTCGCCACTCGTCGCCATCCTCCAGCAGGCACAAAGTGCCACGCTCATTCTGCCAAGGAAGAAGAAGGGGTGAGTGAGAGTGAGACTGAGGGCACGACCCCTGATGGTGAGGACGAGCCCCTGCCCAGGCAGAAGGTACTTCTAATTTGGCTTTGCACATGGTCCTTATGGCAATGCTCACTCAATTACAGTACAACATTGCCAATGTCAATCAGGCAATCAAGTTGAGCAAGCGCGTCTGGACCGACTCTG